GATATTGGAAAATTTCTCATCCTAACTCTGCCATTACACAAGTTCAACACTTTTCTCAATTCATAATTTAACTATTGTGCTGTATAGGTATTCTAAAGAAGAAGGGATTCCTCTGGGAGAATTTCAAAATCAGAATTTCACATACCTTTTGAGGTGATTCTCTCATTTTATCTACTTCTTCTTATCAAAGTTGTTACATGGTATGTCGAGCAAAGAGTTTGGCTTTTTGGGAGCCGTGGATGATCCTGCCATCTTAGCCATGTTTAAAACTGGTTGATTTCATACTTGAGTCTGGTCTGCTGATTCATGATTCAACTGGTTTGTTCAATAAATTTGGAGACGGAGGATGCAATTGAACCAAATAGTAGAATTATAGGAGATGCAATTGAACCAAATAGTAGAATTGTAGGAGAAGGGGAATAGTGGAAAGAGGAAGAGAAAGGAGGGGGAAAAGAGCAGAAGGGGAGATAGGAGAAGGGAGATAGAAAAGGAAGAAGAATTAGACGGACGGAAAGAGAATTTAGGAGAGAGGAAGTATCTTTATTTCATATATCAGTCGTGAGAATTAAATACATACGCCCCTTTATGTTGTGTTTCATAACATATATTTTAATTAGGAAACATCTATTCGAATACTAGAGAATCCATCAAATTAAGGTAATAACAGAGTATCTATTAAAAAATACTAGAGATCTTAAATGTAATTACATATCCGATTTGGAAAGTCTACCGTAAAATAGATTTTCTAGGGTTCTCATCATCGCCACCTAAGCTATTCTTATTTATTTATTTACTTTTAAATAAATGGAGATGTGAATTCGGACTAGCTGGTGGAGATATTTAAGATCTTGCCAAATTTGGAGTTATTTCATTTCAAATTATTGGAATTTTATATTTTACACAATTATATGTTTATTTACTTATCATTTTTTCTACCTTAATTAGGTTATGTTCAACCATATATAAAGAGAGTTATTTCTTTTACAATCACTATTGATACTGAATACAAACAGTTTACCTCTCTCTGTCTCATCTCTCCCTAATCTCTCCTCTTTCTTTTCCCTGCCCTCTTCTATTCTCCTCTCTTCTTCTACCTCTTCTAAAAGTATACAGTTAGTTTACATGCCTCCAGCGTCAATAGCTGGCTAATCAATGCCTTTGCATCATTATAATAAATGTGGATTCCACTTTTTCAACATTTTTTTTTTTATTGTATCTTATTCCGAATTTTTATACTCTCGTATATTGATCACCAGTTTTCTGCATTTAAATTTCTACTCTATTTTTCATTCTGTAGCGAATCTTCTGATATCAGTGGATACAAGTGTCTATTTAGTACGAAGGGATTCTCCAGGGCTCATCTTCGTGTTGGATTTCCTCCCATATCACTGGTATGGAGAAGGTCAACTCATCCCTTGTGAATGCTACGAGATTAACACTTAATAGTTCTGTATACTCTGCAGGTTAAGGACCCGAAGGTATATGTCCATGGAAATGTTAAAAATAATGAAATAATCCACAGAAGCTGGCCGGGTTGCTAATTACTATGGGAAGAGATCTATATCTCATCTGAAGTTGTGGCATTCTTGAAACTGCATGTTGCTGGACTCGTAGGGGCATAAACCAATGGAATACTTCTATCTTTGAGATTGATTATCCTTTAGAGCTTTACAGAAGCAATATTTTCCTACATTTGACACTGAATATAGCTCGAGAACTATACAGAAATCGTGCACATTTGAGCTTTTGCATTCTATACCTTCAGAAACATTTGAAAATTATGCTCTGCTTGTAACACGGCACTTTGTGTTGAGAATGCACCTAAACTAGGGGACAAAATAGTTAGGTCACCTTGGCCGATATACAATCTTATAGCAAGTGAGGCTATCGTTGGACAATTTTCCTGTTCTATAATTTGTAACACCATGTACTATCTATATCGTCCACAGGTGTAATTTTTGATTTGGTGGTAGATTATGTTCTTTTCCTCCAAATGAAACTGTGCTTTTAGGAATATTAGTTAGGGTTGAACGTGCTATTCTGAAATACTTTTTAAGTATTGTAAAAATAATATTTGATACTAATTTGTTGAGAGGATTTGACGAGTCTTGAACGAACTAAAGAAAATAAAGTTTATGATAGAAATTTAAGCAATTCAAATTTTTTGTGATGATGAAAATCATGAAATACTATAAATGAGCAATCTTTTTATATTATATTTCGTACATTAGAGTTAATTACTAATACATGAATTTAAACACACATTGAAATTTCTAGATACATGAATAAAATTAAATTTATTTATAACAATTCTAAATTTATGTAGATTAAGATTTATTAGTCTAGATTAATATGAATGTTAATTAATTGAGAGTTAATAACATCAAATTCATACATGATAAGAATTTTGTAGTATTTATTACATATTGAAAAATGAAAAACAAGGTACTATTGAAATAATTGAATTATAGTAAAATTAAAATCGTCTAAAAAATAATTTTTATTTGATGTGATATTTAATATATTATAGATACAGATATAGCAAGAAAAAGGCCTTCAAAGCATGACCCAATCTGTTAAATAACCATTTCGTGTTCGAGGCAGGCCCTCAAGTAATAATGAAAAATATATGGTTTAAATGTAACGTCCCAAATTCTTTGAACTCAACGAGTGAGGCAAAAAAATAAAATAAAATAAAATAAAAAATAAAAAACCCCCCAATTTGAGCTTTATAACGTTAAATTGTAAATAAGAAAAATTTTGGAGTTTGGAATGTTAAAAAAATATTGGGAAATCTTAACATATGACCATACAGACTTAGATAATTATGGTATAATTTGATTTTGAAAAATATTTGAAGGAAATTCAGCAGACACTGATTACGTAGTAATTGAAAGAAAAATATGTTTGGCCTAACAAATATTGTCTAAAATTTATGAAATTTTTGACAAAGACTATAACATTCATATACATACAACATATAAAAAATTGAGGTCTCGACAATAATGTTTGAAGTGCAAAAACATTTTTCAATTATGTTAGACAGTATTTCCAAAACTGATAGGTAAAATTTAAAAATAATTCCAAAGGCCACTATTAGAAGACTCATTTAAACACCATTGATTTTACTCTAAAACATGTACCGTAGCTCGAGTTATGCCATTTTAAGTAGTACAGAACTTGGAGTTTCAATTCAACAATCATTAGAATTTACGCATAGCCCATCCAGATTTTCTGAATTATAATTGATGTGACATACATGAAAACTAGACAAAATGAACATTTAAACATTTTTAAAAGTGTCATCTAATAATTCATAAAAGATTTACATAATTTAAATTTTTACTGGAAACTTAAAAAGCATTTTAAATCGTCAAGCACTTGTCATTATGCCAAGTCACTGCCATGTCTCGAGTTAGCCTGTAAAATTTTTGCAGGGAACAAGTACCACAAGTAATACTTAGAAGGAAACACTTAAATAAATAATGAAAAAATATATTTTCCAGAAATGCAAAACTTTAGTTATTTGTATCACCGTTAATTTTATAAAGCAAATCAGTGATCGAGTAGTCCACTTACTCTCAAGTTTTGATAATTCCCTTTTAAGTACCAAAAAATCACCTTCTTCATATCTTATTCAAATGGTACTTCCAGTTTTTCATAAGTAACACAATAATACGTTTAATACAAGTCGAAAACAAATAATTTTTACTTTACTTACAAACGTGCCAAAAAAAAAAAAATAATAATAATAATAATAACAATCCTACTTCAAATGTTTGGACTTTGAATATCCTCTTTGTGTCCAATTTATAACAAAATGCAGCGTGCTTCTAGCCTATCCTTCAGATAATTTTCAGATTCAAATGTAACTTTAGGCTATGGGAAAGGTATAAGTGGAATTTATGTGTTTATAATTGTGGTTTATTAGAAAAAAACGTGCTATAGGAGTTGAATGAGTTAATGTTTTCAATTGAAATGAAAATGGACGGTTTTTGGCAGTTAACCAAAATGGAATTAAAAATGGTAAAGTGGGAGCGGGGGAAAAATGCTAAACGACTCGTGGCGTTGACACCATGGATGATCGCTACCTCACAGTCAAGGCGTGGGTCCCGCTTCGAATTAAAAAATATTTCCCCCTTGTGTGTATGTGTGCCAACCGCGTGGGATGCCTTAGTGGAGAGAAAATCAGGTTCTGTGTTGATAGGTGTGAGAAAAAAATCAAGATAACGTGTTAAATTTGGGGTTATATGGCACGAAACTAAGTCTGATTGCCAACATTTTTTTTTTATGAAAAATGTATTTTTTTCATCTAAATTTTTATTTTTATGTTGTTTGATTGATATTTTTTTTCATGAAAAACATTTTCCTACTTTTGATCACATGATCATATTTTTCTCAAAATCAAGAAAAGTATTTTCCTTAAATGAATTAGAATTTTATTTTCCAGGAAATCCACTCTCTTGTCTATCCTTTCTCTATCATACATCCACCAATAAAAAATAGACAAATATAATATTTTTTAGGTTGAAAACTAAATCAACCAAATACATTTAATTAATATTTTTTATATAAATAAGTTGTAGACAATTGAATTTTCTAAAATTTATTTTTCTTTCCATGAAATCAAACACACCTTAAATGTATCTAATTTTAAATAAGGACTTAACATGGGCGACAATTAATATAAAATATGTCGCCACAAATAACATAATCAAACCAAAAAATAAAAATTATCGTTTAAAAGATATTCGACACCTTACAAAAAAATTAAGACAAGTGCACACAATTGTACTATCGGGATCAAAATTTTGATTTAGAATCTTAAGAAGTGTCGTATCGACGTAGTAATATAACCCAAATTATTTTCAAGTTTTACAAAAAAAATTCTTCTTAAATGAAACCCAATTTTTTTCTCTTTCGCTCATTAAAACTTGATGAACTAAATCAAAGAATTTTTTTTACTGATAGATTATTGGGTTTCTTGCAAATTATGTAACAGCAACAATTTTAATTATTGGAAAACTCCTATTGGACCGTCTTGTCCTTTGTTAGGAAAATTGATTGTAAACATATTAGTTTGAATCTCTTTTAGTTTTCTGTACATGCTTGTTAAATAGTTGACTTTTTCAACTAGTCAAATCAAAAATAAATGAAGGATATGCAAAGTAGGGGTGTAAGCGGTCCGATTTTTGACAAATTTTCAAATCAAACCATTTAAAACGGTTTGAGAAAAATCCAAATTTAAACCAAACCATTTTGAACGGTTTGAAAAAAACTCAAACCTAAACCTAACAGTTTGGTCCAGTTTTAAACCACCGATTTCGTCATATATTTTTTTGCCCGTCTACTTTTATGTCATTAATTCATTGAATTTTATATATATTTATATCTCACTAGTAATAAATCTAAAACAAACTAAACCCTTGTTTGAACCAAATTTTTGGGACAAAAAAATGAAAATTTGGATAGTTATTCCACAAGTCCAGCTGCCTTTGTTGACCTGTTATTTCATGTGTGGGACCCAACCTCCTCTCCAATAGTCAATTTTCTCATTATGATGATAAGAAAAATATGGTTCAAACAGAGGCTAAATATATCTACTATAAATTTAAATATTAACTAAATCAAAGTGAAATCACAATAAATTAAAAAATAGTTTTTTTTTTCATTTTTGTTCACCTTTTTTAGGTTAATGACGATACAATAACATTATAATAAAAGTCTACTAAACTAGATATAAGGTCCAAAAAACATAATGATGTCCAACAAAATCTCGTGATCATTATATCTGAAAAAAAGATATTGATTAAACAACGAGAATAACCAACTACAATAATAAAGCAATTGTTTATAATATCTAAACATAACAATTACACAAGTTTACGTTTGTATGATGTTACGAAACACATTTAATTTCAGATTTTTACCTTAGTTTGCTCCAAAAAATTATTGATCTGAAATTTTATTTGTAGTAAATATTATCACCGAAGGTCTAGAATCTCTTTATCTCCGATTTGGTATAATGAACTTCAATTCGACTTTGAAAATGCGTGAAAAATCTGAAAAGTAGTGTGTAGTGCCGGTGGCTCATAACTGTGTTGGATGTTGACTGGAGTTCATCTAAATTTTGAAGAGGAAAAATGCTTTTGATAGATTATGTTAGTCTTAAAATTATTAAATATATATTAGGATTATTGGATAATAATAATAATATATTTGTATTAGAAAATTAGGAATTAACAAAAATACCCACAAATGACAAAACTATTGAATCTTACATATTTGGATGAATTTTCAAAAAATTTCATTTTTTTATTTTTATATATTTTTTCGTCGGTTCGGTTTGTTTTTAAACCGCAATTAAAATTCTCAAATCTAAACCAAACCATTTTAATCGGTTTTGTTTGGGTCAAAACCATTTCGTTGACCGGGTCCACGTGGCACCAAACCGACGGTTTCTAAAATGCGATTTCGGTTCGATTTTTCGATTTTACGATTTTTGCTTACAGCCCTAATGCAAGGTATTTAAAATTGGACTTTGTTATTTGTACATCCACCCCGAATGACACTCCTCTCACAAGAAGGGGCCCACAATTATTTTATTACGTGTGGACCCCCCTCTTTTGTGAGGGGAGCGTCATTCGGGGTGTCAACTTCGGATGTATAAATAGTTTTATTGTTTAAAATTTATAGAAGGGTAAAAAAGTTCAAAAGTGACATTTTGGTCAAAATTATTAAAATGTGACATTTTTATAAATGTAAATCCAAAAGGTTGTGTGGATGCAATTTTCTCAATTTTTATTTTTCTTAAGTAATGAGCTCAAACAATGACATGGTTGATTTAGTCTTTGCAGTCTCTTCGAGGAAAGCATTGGTGGGTAAAGTCTAACATTGACTTGACTAACTGCATTTGAAAGTTGTATATTTAATTGGATTAACATTATCAATCCTTTCATACACCACGCCTTTCAGCTGAGAAATGGCTAGTCATGGCACCACCACACACAGGCCAGCCACCACTTCTCCATCTCCCACCATCTCCCGGGACGATGAACCCGAGGAATCAATTCAAAAATATCTTAACAGATTCAAATCCACAAGCCCTTTTAATATCCCTTCTACCCCAGAATCAGCTGCAGTTAGAATCATCAAGAACTTGGAGAAATTCAGTTTGTACTATTCAATATTTGTATGGACTGTCCTCTTCATCACCCTTATCCCACGGCGCAAGGTTTCGTTGATCCTTTTGGTAGCCATGACAGAAGTGACCTTCTTATACTTTCTGTTACTGCGTGCTTTGCCCAGTTCTGTTGTGCTTCATAAGATCATTGGCAAGCGAGTCGTGCTGTTTCTGCTGTTTATGATCACATCTGTCGAGCTGATCGTTACTGGTGCTTTCGTTCATCTGTTCGTGACTCTTTCTGCAACTATACCTATTGTTATACTTCATGCAGTGTTAAGCAAAAGAGATGATGTGTTTGTGAACGAGGGCAGGGGTGATGGGGAGTTGGTACGACTTGTGGAAGAAAGAGTTAGTGATGCTGATCGTGAGAATTTGGTGTGAAGATGTGGCTGTCAATTACTTCAATAATTTTTGTTATCCTTTCTGTTGTTGATGGCTATTTTTTCCCTCCCTTTAATAAAAGATTAAAGGATGATATTAATTTAGCCAGTCTCAGTAATTATAAATTTATGTAACGCCCCAAATTTTCAATTTTAAAAAGTCGAAGTGTTACTAAATATATATATCCTTGAAACTTTAAAGAAAATTTGATAATTCCACTCAATGAATTTAAAAGAGTAGTCAACCAACACTTAAATTTAATTAAAATCATTTAACATCAATTTAAACGAAATACACGCAAACATGAATGTCAAAACTATATATTAAAAAAAAAAAAGTGCAAATACTAAACATGAAAATGCTAAATGGAAGTCTAGTCATGAATGTGCTTAAATCATTTTTTACTTAGCAACCCATAAGTAACCACTAATCCAATTTTCCAGGCGCCAGCATGACGTTCTAATCTACAATTTTGCAAGAGTGAGCATTTTAAATAAAACACTCAGTAAGATACGTGCAAATTTGTATTCAACATAACATAAATATAAATGAAATACTCATACCTAACATTAATAGACTTAAAACCGCTGATCGCGATAACATATAGTTTTTCTTTAAAATTTTCACATTCCCAATGATTTAACTTAATTGGATCTGATGGTCTATCTCGAATTGTTTAACATAAAAATCAATCTTAGAGTTTTAAGGCATTGACTGAAATCATAATATAGATATCATGGAGAATAAAAAAATTTAACTGCTATACTTAAGTATCTTACCTTAATTAGAAATCTGAAATTTGCTAAGAACTTGAAAAAGAATTTTCTTTTTTGCCTTGACTTGAAGAATAGCAAAATATATAGAAAAGATAAGATTGGTTATTTTTACAATGTTTAAAATCCCACACATTTGTCTACCAATCAATGCAAAGGAAATTAAGAATTGATATAATATCAAATGATTACATGAGTTTTATTTCAACCATAATAATATGAAATAATATGTTCAAAATAAATTTCTCTTGAACCCAATTTATGTAATTTAACGCGATCTACAAAATTAGACTGAGATTCATATATTTTTTCAATGTCTACTATACTCAATTATTTGGCATACATAATATTTAGAAGAGAATGAAATGCAAATTAGAAGATAAATGGACTTTAGTGTGGTGACAATGCTAGGTATGGACCAATTAATTTGCTAATGATCAAAGTTAAATTAACAAAATTTAAGCCATAGTAAAATGTAAATAAATTTTGAAATGTTATATTAAAGTGTGGAAAAGATACACAATCACATACAAAATCAAGAATATCTTAGTAAATAAATTTTGAAAGAGGATTTTGAACTAGAACCACTTCTTAGTTTTCAAGACTTGAAAGTGGGAAGAGCCGTGCTACACTGCTCGCACAATGACCGTAGGGTTGATACAACATCCACATATAGGGGTGGGATTATTTTATTTATGGGGGAGGCCATGCGGGTTGTTTGACTTTTTTTCAAGTGCGAAACATGCTCGTGAGATTTCGTGCGTGAAAAAAGGGTAAAGAAATTAATCGAGTTAAAATTTTGAGTTTAAAAACTACTTTTTCACATCACCTAATGGAAAAATTAGGAGCTTCAGTTCTTTTAGGGAATATTACAGCTGGGTACTCAACCTTTGAAACGTGCAATGACGTTTCCAACCTTCAAATTTTGGTAGTGCCATCCCAACCCTATGGAAAATTATGTAGCTGGATCACCTTTGGACCGTATCCATCCAAATGGCCGTTGGTTGTGAGTTATGACATGCGTTCGCTAAAATTATACACCGTAAGTGTTGGAATTGGTTCAAACAATTAATTAAAAAATTGGAAAATGAAAACATGTGTAAAAGTGAAAAATGAAAATGTGTGACTACGTGTCAATTTTGACCAAATATTAGGACTTGATCCAATGGTCAAATTACAAAAGTAAATAGACCAATTTATTCTTCTCGTCGAGTACATCGTCGTGGCATATTTCGAATCTCGAAATCAATTCTAGATGAATGAGAAATTGCGGACTAAAGTTGGAAGAAATGAAGTGGTGCAACTTTTTGAAAGGATGCAAGTTTTGGCCCAATGTTGCCACTTTTTGAAAGGATGCATGTTTTGGCCCACACTACTTCATTTGTAGCATTTCTATATTTATAAATAGAACCCTATATACATGGTTTTGGGTACACCAATTGCATTGAGCATTCATTCTTCTCTTGCAATTCTCTCATTTCTAATTTCATAGCATTTCTTTGGTGGAGAGAGAATTCTGTCAGAGTTTCCTGGTCGAAATCATTTGGAGTGCTCCTATGACTTGATGTAGTCGTTGTATCTTGGGAGATGATTGTCGAAAAATCGTTAGCTCCGATGCGGGGCAAATTCATCTTAAAGACCAAGTGTCAAATACTTGCCTCGGTCAAAAATTCATCACTTGCATCTTTCTTCCTACAGTTTTTGGATTTCTTTTTATTATATTTTGATTTCGGGAAATGATTAATATTGTTTACATGTTTATGTTGCAAGGTTCGATCAAAAGAATAATTTGCTTTGATTCAAGAATTGAAAGGGATGAGTCCATATCCATGCATTCAGATTCAGTAACTTTTATGTTTTGCTTCTCAAATCCTATTTCGGTAAGTCGAAATTACGTTTCGATTTCACACAAATAACTGATATCATTTTGTGAATATAATATGCACGTAATCGGTGTAAATTTTCCCAACAATCTTAAGGTGAATTTTGTTTTCGTGCAATTATATTTTTCATTATTCTGTTTGTATGAATAAAGTATTAAATGGATTGGATGATAAAATCTGATTGCATAAAGTCGACACCGATTTATGTTTTATGCTCGGTGGGATTCTGTGCAACTCTTATATTAAAAAAAACATATATATATATATATATATATACTGCCTCAAAATTCTGTTTGCATATTTCATTTTGGTAAATAATGGAAGGCTGCCAATGAGTGCCTCTGATTTAAAACAGGCTTTTGGCCGATAACTTTTATGCATCCATATAACATTCTGTTTGCCAATTGTATATCTGTTGGAAGAAAAATGCATGTGTTTTGAATTCTCTTCATATATCAGCATGTATACTTCAAAATTGTTGAATGGTTAAAAACGGTGGCAGAGGGATAAAATATTTCCTACCGTTTAATTGTTTATCTTGAGGTTTGTAAGATGGCGACTCTTCGTTTTAGTATGAATTGTCTATAATTTCTTACTACCTTCAACTTCATGGGACTTAAATGGTAAAATTTGTTTAAATTCTGCATAATTGTTGAAATATTATTGTGCATGAAATAATGTGAAAAAGCATATTGCAGTAAATTGAAAGATCGTATCAGTCTACTATAAATTAAAGATAGTTATCCTTAATTTTTTTTCCTCAAAAAAATGTTAATTGGATCTCTTATGGCAAATGGCATAAAATGGAGGCATGGCACGTGAACTTTCACATAAAGTGAATGTCACCAAAGTGTGAGGGCTGTAATTGATATATCACATGAATTTCAATTAGTTAATATATTTAGTGATAATCACTCGATGGAATATTTTGACAAATGCATGTGCATGAAAAATATTTGAATGAAGAGACATGGTTTGGTGTCCACCCATATTGTTGGATATTGGTTCTTATCTTGATGAAAATTTCAAATCTTGTTGAGCCTCAATTAATTTGATGAAATTAAATGAGATGACTTATGCTAAATTATATGTACATAAGATTATGACAAAATGGTTTGTCCTAATTATTTTAAAGTGGAAATTATTTATCCAATTATTGGAATATGAAATTATTTATAGAGCACAAACGATGTCTATAGTTGGCGGTGGTGCCCGTTATTCTTGAAAATAATAATTGTAAAATGACATTCACTTGGAAAAGATAAAAACTATGTTATGCAAAATTGTGTAGAATATTATGAAATATTCTAGGATCAATTTAGATGAAAAGGTGCGTCCTTTTATATGACAAATCATGACTTTGGATATAATTATTTTTCAATGAGCGTGTCTCTTCATAGAGATTAATTCCAAGAAGTATATCTCTTCATAGAGATTAATTCCAAGAGGTATGTTTCTTCATAGAAATTATTTCAAGAGGTATGTCCTTTTATAGGATTGTGTCTTTTAAGAACACAACTTTTCAACTGATGGTTGAAATGAAACTATCATGTGAAATGTTACAAATGTGATAAGGTGCATATGTTTGAAAAAGTTGCAATGCTTATCCCTCTTTATTGTTGAATTTGACTTCAATCATGAAACCAATTAAGTTGGTATATGTTTTGAAAGCATTGTTGGTCTATGTAATGACCTTGATTTAATTTCAATGATCAAAATTAATTAGATTGAAGTATGTTATATGCAAGTTGATGACCGTTGCTTTGAAAGTACATAAACTTTTACAAAGCACTAGATACAGATATTATGAATTGAACTATGAAAGAGTTGCTGAATCTTAAGTTCAATTGTAACCCAAAGATGTGGGAGGTTATCATAAATGCTTGTGAACTTGAATGAAAAGTTTAAAACTTATGGATGCAACGTTACTAGATTGCATATGTATTCTTAATTGAGGAATTGTGGGGGTAACTCAGTTTAAGAGTTACATTTGCTTCTATCTTATAATCATAGAAATATATCTATAAAGGTGGAAAGATAGAAAACCCTTATACTAATTATAAGGATGATATACACTAAGTCTAATGTGGATTAAATGGGTGGAAGCCAATTGTGGCGATTGTTTGGACATGTAAGAACAATTGGAATATTTGAAGAATATTCATAAAGTTCAAATGCATGGTAATGTTTCAATGATGATATTGAATACCCATGATTCTGAAATTTACTAGTAAAAGTGATTGACTAGTGTAGTGTTTGATAGAAATCTTCCAACCGTATTTGGAAATTGATAAAGCTTTAGAGGATTTCTTGGTGGCGATCATTTGTAGCTATCAAATGAATC